TCAAGGCCATGGAAGGTTCCTCAGGAAACACTGAATGGGCCTTCAAGATCACGGAAAACCCGAATGGGCCTTCAAGATCATGGAAAGTTCCTGAGGAAACACCAAATGGGTCTTTCAGGTCATGGAAGGTTCCTCAGGAAACACTGAATGGGCCTTCAAGATGCCCAGCATGATAGGTGGCTGTACAAATCATACAACTAAATAAAATAAAATAAACGCATTATGAATATAGATAGTTTTGCAGACCCCGATTTGCAGAATGCACGGGGGAAAAAAACCCCATTTTCTTTCCCTTTCTAGGTTACAGTGTCTCCTCTGTCCTTCAGATGCTACACCCAGAGTGTAAGAACCTCCCTGAGCCCAATCTGCTTCCCGGACAACTCTCCCATGGGACGGTGGGGGTGAAGGACGGCAAGGTCCAGTGGATCTCCATGGCCTTTGAGTCGGTGAGAGACCCCTTGATTTTTCCAGTTCTGGCTTTCTGAGATCGTCGCGCCCTTTTCATCTCCAGAACTGAAAAACGGACCAAGATCCTAGTCCTTAGGAGCCAGGGCTTCTAAAGAAACCTGCAGGGGGGGAAAAAAGTAAAAGTGCTTAGTGTCCTGGATACTTTTTCCAATATAGTCACACACAGGGGTGGGATTCGACCCGTTCAGACCGGTTGGGGCGAACCGGATGTTTAATTTTGCACCTGGTTCGCCATACCGGTATTTGAACCGACCATCTGGCCCCGTTCACCCCTCCCCTCCCCTCCCCGGAGTCTCCACATGGCCCATTTTCGATGCAGGTAAGTGCAGGAGGCTCTGGGAGGGGGAAAAACGGCCCTCCTGAAAGTATGGCCACGCCCACCATGGCCACGCCCACCCAGCAACTGGGCAGTGATTTTTGAATCCCACCCCTGGTCACACATCTAACCTGAAGAGCGATTTGGGTATTCAGGGGAAAGAAAATTTGAATAAATTTCGGTGATGCTTCCCACACCCCTTTTCCTCCTGCGGGCTCAGCTGCCTCTTATCCAACCGTTGTCCAGTCTGCAGCTTCCCTTCTGCCCACCAAGGTCATTCCCACTTACAGGAAGAGTGCACTCACTTGGCCCAGGAGAGGCAGGACTGCGTCCACTTTCGGTCACTGTATTATAAAATAATGTTGAGACTTTGGCCTGAGTGCAGAGAAGAGCAACCAAGATGATTAGGGGACTGGAAGCTAAAACGTACGAAGAACGATGGCAGGAATTGGGTATGTCTAGTTTAATGAAAAGAAGGACTAGTGGGGAACATAATAGCAGCCTTCCAATATCTCAGGGGCTGCCCCAAAGAAGAGGGAGTCAAGCTATTCTCCAAAGCATTAGAAGGGCAGGACAAGAAGCAATGGGTGGAAATTAATCAGGGAGAGAAGCAAACCTGGAATTAAGGAGGAAATTCCTGACAGTGAGGACAATTAACCAGTGGAACAGCTTGCCACCAGAAGTTGTGGCTGCTCCATCACTGGGAGACTGGACAGCCTCTTGTCTGGAATGGCACAACGTTTCCTGACTGAGTCCCTGTTATTCTACCTTGTCCTTTTCCTCTAACGTCCCACTCCTTCCTTCCTTCCTTCAGACCACCTACAAGGGGAAATCGTCCTTCCAGACCTATTCCGATTATCACAAATGGGAAACCTTCCTTCAGGATTTGCTCCGGCAGTTTCCGGAAGGCTCCCCGCTACGCCGAGGTTTCCAGACCTGCGAACATTGGAAGCAGATCTTCATGGAAATCATAGGTGAGCGGTAGGATCAGAATGAGAGAAATAAGTGTGATTTGTCGTGACTAGCAAACGCGTTGATTAAACAGACGTATTTGGGCCTCTTAACATACAGTGGCTCCATGCAGCTTTGCAAGGTGTCAGTGCTAACAGAGGAAGGGCAAAATCTTACGCACAGGTGGAGTTCACCTCCTCTTCCTTCTGAACATGGCTGGAGTAACCATGCCCCATTACTACTCCTCATCGTGGCTGTAGAAATCTAAGCCCAACCACCTGGTTTCGTAGTGAAGCACGGGTATCGAGCTAGTTTAATAATAAACATATAACGACAGTAGTAGCTTACTCATCCATTTGGTGAGCCAGGTTTGCAAAATTCGTCATTCTCTTGCATTTAAAAAACAAAACAAAAACACCTTAATTTCTCTTTCTGCTCGTCGACCATCACGCACAGTGATTCTTGCTCTCTCTCTTCTCTCCTCTCCGTCTCTTTCCCAGGTGTGCAAAGTGCCCTTTTCGGCCTCGTCCTTTCCCTGGTGATCTGCATTGCCGCTGTTGCCCTCTTCACCACCCACCTTCTCCTCCTGCTTCCCGTCTTGCTCACCATTTTAGGTACGAGCAAGCTAGGAAAAAAAACTTCCCCGCCTTGACCCATCCCGGCGCTCTGTTCTTGCGTACGCAGGGAAGAGTCCTGGCTGAATTCGTATAAGGCCCCGGGAGGGGGGTTTCCCCCCCAAAAAAAAATTCACCTGAGCAAGCAGCCAACCCTACACGGCACACTACCAAGCCACGGGTCAGTGTGGCCAGTGTGCACATGTGCACAGCTCAACTCGTGCAAGCCGTGGGCTGGAGCGCACGGGGCATGCTGCGCAAGGGCTTGTGTGTGGCATTCGTCTTGCCCAGTTCCCCTCTCCCCCTCCCCGCTGGGCCCACCAAGCTGCAAAGTTTGGGGGGACCGCTGTTTTAGTTCCCCCCCCCCTCCCGAAACGGTCCCAAAATACCTCGCTCCTTTCACTGGTAGCAAATCCGTGTCAGTCTGGGAGGGATGAAACTTTCGGTTTCCGCTCTGGAACGGAGCCCTGAACCTGGGAAGAGAAGCGTGACTTTTGATGGCTGCCTGTCTCTTTTCGCCAGGCGTGGTCTGTCTGGTGGTGACTGTCATGTACTGGTTGGGCTGGGAGATTGGGGCCGTGGAAGCCGTCTCGCTCTCCATCCTGGTGGGCTCCTCGGTGGACTACTGCGTGCATCTGGTGGAGGGCTTTCTTCTGGCTGGGAAGAGCCTCCCTCCTCACCTGGCAGAGGTGAGGCTTTGTCTGGGCACTTCTTTTCCACTTCCCCACTTCTGCCTCCAGGAGATAATAGCAACAGCCCTTAGACTTGTATACCGCTTCGCAGTGCTTTATAGCCCTCTCTAAGCGGTTTACAGAATCAGCCTCTTGCCCCCCACAAAAATCAGAAGGATGGAAGGCTGAGTTAATCTTGAGCCAGTTGGTCAGGATTGAACTGCTGGCAATGGGCAGAGCCAGCCTGCAATACTGCATTCTACCCACTAGAAGGGGGGGGAAGGAAGGAAGGAAGGAAGGAAGAACACTGAAAGAGGAAGAAGGAAGAGAGACAAGGGAAGGAGGACACTGAAGAAGGAAGGAAGGAAAGGAAAGGAAAGGAAAGGGAAGGAAGGAAGGAAGGAAGGAAGGAAGGAAGGAAGGAAGGAAGGAAAATAGCAATAGCACTGATTCATAGCAGTGCTTCACAGCCCTCTCTAAGTGATTTACAGAGTCAGCCTCTTACCTCCCAACAATCTGGGTCCTCGTTTTACCCACCTTGGAAGGATGGAAGGCTGAGTCAATCTCGAGACTGTTGAGATTCGAATTGCCAAATTGCAGGCAGCTGGCAGTCAACAGAAGTAGCCTGCAGTACCGCACTCTAACCACTGCACCACCATGATAATCACCATCATAATCACGCAGGGCAACAGCTCTGGACTAGGGGTAGACAGATATATTAAGTGCGCCCCGTTCTCCTCGAACTATTCCTCAAAGCCCAGCCCGACCCCGAGCAATATTTCGGAAGCTATCTTGGTGTGCGCCACCTTCTGAAATGCTTGCTGGAGCTAAAGATGGGGTCCAAAATTCGATCGGCCACTTGCTCCAGCGACCGGAGCTGAGAATCCAAGGCGGCTCCTGGTTTTTGGGTGGGACCAGGAAGGTTCAATGCATGCATGGGGGGCGGGGGGGGGGGGGGGGGTTAGAACCCGGCCGGGGGGGGTGGGGGCTAGGTGCCTGTCAAAGTGTGCATGAGAAAAGAAACAACAACCCCATACCTGTACAAACTTTCAGGTGCAACTTAGATTTCTTCGTTCTTCAAGGGTGGGGAGTGGGGGGAACCTGAAACGGAACAAACGGTTTTAAAGGCCTGGTGATGATATGGTGGAGAGAAGCAGAGCTGACCCATCTCTTGCTGACCGCAGGATCCCAGCTCCAGCCGCCAGTGGAGGACAGTGGAGTCGGTGCGGCACGTGGGCGTGGCGGTTGTCTCCAGCGCCGTCACCACCGTCATCGCCACCGTTCCTCTCTTCTTCTGCATCATAGCGCCCTTTGCCAAGTTTGGGAAGATCGTGGCCCTCAACACGGGCCTCTCCATCCTCTACACCCTGACGGTCAGCACAGCCCTGCTGAGCATCATGGGGCCGCCTTCGTTCACCCGCAGCCGGACTTCCTTCTTCAAGGCGCTGCTGGGGGTGCTGCTGGCCGGGGCGGGAGGCCTCGGCCTTTATCTGGTGCTGCTGAGAAGCGGATTGGAGATGCCCCTCCTCAGCGGGGCCGGCTTGTAGCCCCCAGAGACCCTCCTGCCCATTTTCCCCCTCTCTCTCTCTCTCAAAAAAGAGGCTTCTTGGGTGCATGATCTTTTTGGGGAGGGGATCCTGTTCCACGGGAGTTGCCGAGGACGCAGCTTCTCAGCCCTATCGGCAGAATGGGACCTCCGGAGCCGTTCTCCGTCTCCCGTTGGAAGTCAAAGCTGGCGTTTGGGGTCTTTTCCCAGGCACACCATGGGGAGAAGCCAGGGCAGAGGAGAAAGACAGGGTTCCCTCTGGATCGCCCTCCATCTTTAGGACCAGCCAACCCATTTTCAGGCTTCCAGCGGCTCCCAGAAATCCTGCCTCTGGTTTTCAAAGGATCCCCATCCGCTTCCCCATCCCTTCTCCCCTTCCTCGCCTTCGGTTTCCACTTGCACTTTAATTCCTACCTCCCCTCGGCTTGCTTCCAGGTAGGGTTTTATTGGGGGGTGGGGTGGGAGAAAGAATGTGGATCTGGACAGGCACAGAATTGCTCCCCTTTGGCAGAAGGAAAATCATCAGAGGCCGCCTTCTTCAGTTGCTTCTTCAAGGTGTTTGCCCCGTCCCTGCTCTGAAAATCTTTCCCAGCCTTTACTCCAGTGGTAGCTGCTATCGGTTCGCACCGGTTTTAGCGAACTGGTTGTTCCGGTGATCAGCTGGCCCCTTCCACCCTTTCCTGGCCTATATTTCCATTTTTTTTTAGCTCAGCTGATTCACGCGGCGCGATGGATTGCTGTGCCTCAGCTGTTTTACTCACCGGTGCTCACTTTTAAGCTTAAAGGGGGCAGTTTTTGAATGCCGGGCGCGTGAAGGATGGAAAGCGCGCGCTCACCGAACCGGTTGTTAAACCGGTTACAGCCCAACCACTGCTTTGCTCCCTCCCCAGCTAGTTGCATTTTCGGTCTCCATGGTGGGGGTTTTTTTGGTTTTTGGTTTTGGAGATGAGAAACGGCCAGAGCTGGCTGGCTGGGAGTTCTGGGAGTTGAAGTTCCCAAGGCTGAGAAGCACTCCAGGCCTTTCTCTGGTCAAACTTCTCTTGTTCTTGAGAAGGGTTTTTTGAATGTAGTCTGGAAATGAGAAGCAGATTGAAATTTTCCCCTTTGTGTCTCAAGTCCAGCCTTGAGTTTCTCTTAAATCTCCTGTTTTTTCCTTCCTTCCTTCCTTCCTTCCTTCCTTCCTTCCTTCCTTCCCTTCCTTCCTTCCCTTCCTTTCCTTTCCTTTCCTTTCCTTCCCTTCCTTCCTTCCTTCCTTCCTTCCTTCCTTCCTTCCTTCCTTCCTTCCCGGAATATAACATTTTCAGCCTCTCGATTTTTTTTTTTCCTTCAAAGAGAAGTGCTTCTCCCGGGAAGGCAATAAACTGCCGGTGATTTACCACCGTAACTAACAGGAATCCTTGGGTGTGCGAGGCGGCTGTGGCGGTGATTTACACAGAAAGAGGCTTCACTCCTGGCTTGCCCGATCCATAAATTAACTTCTGCAGATCAAGAGGAGCCTTTGGGATTCCCGTAGCTGGTAGCCGGGCATGTTGCCAGCTGCTCTCTTAGCCAAATGAGGACCTTGAAATGCCTTGCTTGATCGGAGCAAGGCCCTTGGCAAACCTCCTGGCTGAAGAATAGCCAGACAGGTTTGGGGGAGACACTTCTGCACATTGGGATCTGGTTTTGTCTAGCCTTCATCATCCTTTGTCTCAGCAACTAACAGAGCACAATGCCTTTTTGCTGTCCCTATATTATTATTATTATTATTATTATTATTATTATTATTATTATTATTA